TTGTTCTCAGCTCCATGAGAGTCGGCAGCACTACCATAGAACCCGGGTGCTCCACCAGGGTACCCCCCGGTAGGAGCCCCACCACTCGGGCCTCCAGGAGGTCCAGCGGGACCTTGGCCTCCGCCGGGGTGTCCAGGTCCTGGTGGTGGAAATGGAGCATGTCCATGACCACCGCTTCCGCCCCCACCTTGGCCGGGTGGTCCGCCTTGCCCACCTCCTCCCCCAGGAGGAGGAGGAGAGGGCGGTCCAGCTTCAGCGCGTTCACGCCGAATATTGCAGCGCGCACATCGCTCGAGGCCGTCACTGCCAAAATGACTGTGATCCTCACAGACGTGATTCCCACACTCCGTGCAGGAATACATAGAGACCTCCTGGGCACTTTTACGACATGCCCAACATTTCATCTTCAAGAAGTGACAATTGCAACAATCCCCATCGTCGCCCCGGCAAAGCCTGCAAAACTCACGATTGCACGTAACACACGAGAATTCAGCGTCCGGGTGCCTGCGGTCACTCGGATCACCACCGGTACCAGGCGCTCCTCTTGCGGCCGGTGCCGAGGCCCGTCCACGATCGGATGGAGTTCCAGGGGTCCTCCAGCTATCGCCGGGACTCTGGATGTCGGCATGGGCCCTAGTACCCCTACCACCTCCTGGATGACGGTCTGGGTTCGGAGAGACGCTCCCGCTATCGCGGAGCGGCCTTTCCAGGTTCGGAGAAATGCTCCCGCTATCGCGGATTGGCCTTTCCCCCCTCGATTGCCGACTCCGGACCTCAGATCCCCTATCGGGGACGGCAGCAGGCCTCGGGCTCCTATTTCTACCCACATCCCTGTTGGGAGAAACAGAAATCTCCCCCCTTGCGCGCGCGCGGGGGCCATCCCTCGCACGCTCCGGCGGTGAATGCGCCCTCACTCGCCCTGGCGGGGAATGCGACCTGTCAGGCAGTCCCCGAGCTCTTCTGCTTCTGCTGTCAGCCCTCTCCCTATCGGGATGAATGGGATGCCTGTCTGCACGAGAAGGATCGACCCTACCGGGCACATTTGGCAGAACATGATCAGTCAAATCAACACCCCCGCCCGGTCTCACCGGAAGGCCAGTACCCCGACCGTTACCTTCCCCAGGACTGGGCGTCGGAGACCTGATTCTATGTCCCTGCCCCGCAAAAGCATTGTATCCAACATTCCGTCTTTCTCTGGGTACTTGAGGATTCATCTGATTATCCTGGACACCCTGAATGATGCCAGCGGCCTCATCAACATGACCTTCAATCTCAGAGAGCTGAGCCATGATTCTGTTGTTCATTCCATTAAGAGTACGCATGTTACTCTCGACAGTAGTGATTCTCCGCATTGCGCCTTCAAGCGTGTTCCGAAATCAATCGAGTTCACGCCTAACGGCAGACCGCGCTTGATCACTATTCGCAGGGAGATTACGGATCTGTCTTCTGATGTCATCAAGGACCCGGTTCAGAATTCCCGATCTCGCTTCATACTGCTCAACATGGGATTTCACGGTCTCAAATCTCGCAATGACATCCGATGTTGGCGTTGAACTCCGCGAGATAGATCCTGGACCTTTCGATTGACCTCGTCAATTGCTTCATGCCAGTCCTGCGGGGAAACAGGCCCTGATGGTCTATCGACCGCCTGGGACCCCCTCCCACTTTGCAGCCTCGACATTCGATCAGCAAGAATGATTTGTTCTTCATTAATACCACCAATAGATTCGGAGGCCCACTTGGCAAACTTCTCGTGTTCAAGAAGAACCTTCTCGAGCTTCAGGTTCAACTCCCTGAAACTCGCGTTCGCTCCACTGCTGGTAGCCCTATCGGGCAATTGCGCAGCAGGACTCAAAATCCATTCACCTGCTGGCGTCCGCATCCCAACGGTTTTCTCTACCGAGAACATCCGTCCCTCGAGCTTGTCTAAGTCCTTAAGGATCTCATCCTCGGAAGCAGCATGGCTCCTGCGGGTGGCCTCACGATTCTCTTGAATCATCTGACGAGGCTGATCAGTTGCGATCTCATTGTCCTTAACAGATTCATGAACCTCGTGGGAAAGCAAATTGATCCTCTGATCCACGACTTCAGCCTGTTCATCGATGGCTTGCCTCACAATGGCCCTGCTATCCGGGACGATCTCACTGGCGAACCGCTGAACTATCATTCGCATCCTACCGGCATCAGATTGAGTCGCAATCTCAGTCGCCAAACGATTGACCTTGTCTTTCGTCTGCTGATTCTCGTCGCTCCACTCCTTTCGCATGGAACCCACCTGACCGTTCAGTATCCTGATATGGTCAGCAAAGATGTGGAACGCTTTTGCGACTGAACTAGACACCTCACCCCGCTCGAGCATTTCCTGGATGTGCAGATCAAACACCTCCTTTGCCCTGGCGTCACCTGACTCACCGGGAGAATGGGACCTGTGTGCTGGAGGAGTCGATATCTCGATCCTCTCAGGAGCCCCACTAACTCTAGCAAATCTTCTGGGGTCGCCTACAGGACCCTCACCTATCCTGGATGGCCTGCTAGGGGTAGATCCCCTTCTCCGGCTATCGCCAGATCGGGGATCAATGTTGGATGCACGAGACTCGGGAGTAGAGTGAATGTGAACATCAGCAGGATCAGGCATCTCCTCATCCTGCGGAGTTGAACCCATTGGTGAGGGGCTAGCCCTCCTCGCCTTTGACCTATCGGTCTCAATGGCCAGGGGTGACGGCCTCTTCGCAGAAGCACTACGTTCCCTGGCGGTCGATCCCCATTGAGGAGTGAACTCGTTGCTAGACCTTAGTGTTTCTAGGTCACTGGGATCTCGCCCTAACGGGCTAGCGATCGACGGACGATCCTCGATTCCGAGCGCATCGGCTAGCCGACCATCTTTCACACCTGCCCCAACGGCATCGGCAGCCCGCTCAGTGATTCTTGGTGAACCAGTAACCCGGTTCGAGTTCTCGTCTCTCTGATTCAACGAACCTCCAAATGTAATGTTGGGAAAGGGGGGAACATTTGGGGCATCACCGATCACTGGGGGACCTACCGGCCCCTCCTTGTGATGGATGGCCTCCAATCCTCGAAGAACTTCCCGGCTATCCCTGGCTCTCTCTCTCTCGCTTCGGGCGTCCCTGTCAACTCGAAGGTCCCTAGCGTCTCCACGAGAGAGGCTCCTGGGCCTCGCAGCAGCACGGATCCTAGCATTTCGGCGTGATTGGTTCTCTTCCTCATCACGACGATCCGCAAATGCGGCATATTCATCATCATCGTCGAACTCAAACTTGGCAGTGGCAGGGCTAGGCCTTGCAGCAGCACGGTTCCCCGCATCTCGGCGCGAACGGTCCTCCTCCTCATCCGCAAAATTGTAATCTTCGCCATCATAAAATTCAGACTTGGCAGTATTGGGGTTGGGCCTATCGGCATCAGATCCCTGCTTTGAGCTACTGCCCCAGCCTGCGGTTGATTTCAACAGAGCATCGTATCCGAAACCTGTGAACTTCCGCTCCTCGTGCTCCACAAACTGACCTGGATTTTGAGAACCAGTGGATCGACCCGAGATATCTCTCGGAGCCAAAACCATAGTCCCTGGTCCTTGCGGCCTGTCCTCAAACTCATCCGAGACCTGCGATTCACCTGGAACAAGAGGTCTCGGGGGTCGGGTCGGCATGGCCTCCGGGTCGTCCGAATGAGGGCGGGCCATGTTCATCGCCATGCTGATGAAGTCGAACTGTCCGCGCCTGTGACCTGATTCAGAGCCGCTCCTATCGGAGCGAACCCTTCGTGTCTGCTCATCATCAGTGGCCTGACGGAAAATGCGATCGTCTCCATCGTCGGTGTACCTGCCACGGCTCCTGGGTGTGTCCCTACCGGGATCTTCACCCCTGCGGTCCTGACCTGCCGAACCTGCTTCGAAATCCTCATAATCGAAGTCCGGTAGGTCCTCACCTGAGCGGAGGCCCCCTAGGATGGCCTCCTCATCCACGACACTCCTGTGTGATCGTGGGGTCGACATAGAGCTTGTAGTTGATGGTCTCAAGCGCGTAGGAAAGTCCTACGGCTGATAACCTGTGATTCGGGCACGAGCCTGTGCCCAGGCAATGGGTAAGTTGGGGTAAACAAGCCACAAAAGAAAGGTTCCCCAAAAGCAAACCAATCCCCGGTCCCAAAGATCAGGGTTTCCCACACACCAGAGAACAACAACCAAAAGGGAAATACCAAAACAAGTAAACAAGTACCCGCAACCTTGATCGACGATGAACCGCACGGGCGGACCCCACCAATCTGCCCCGGGCCGATGTCTCTTTCTCCACCGACACGAAGGTGATCGACGCGGGGACCCGGCGACGCTCATCCGAGGCGCGACGGACCCGCAAACTTGAGCCAAACATCACAGGTCGGTCACTACCGCGACGTCCCTGATGATGAAGTTAACCATGGCTAATCACAATATATATATATATATATATTAGTATATTAGAAACCTCAATCGGCCACAGGTCTGCTGTCTTGGTAGCAACAAACTGACTGCAAAACAGCAGCCCCCTTCTGAAAATGACCCAAACAGACCACAAAAACAACTTGCTCCAAGAACTAGCGCAGACCGCACAAAATGCAGTCCCCTTGCCAACAAAAAACGACCAAAAACAACCCACGACAAACAGTTGGACTCGCACAGCTCCAAGTTTTTCCTTGGACCACCCTCATTTTCTGGTGTTTTTTTGTCGTGGTTGACTTTCGCCGGGTTCAGTTCACTTTCTGGGTTCACCCGCTGGTTCGCTTTAGAACTCGACCAAACAACCACAAAAGCAGCCTGCGCGCAGTCCCCTGCCAAAAATCAACTGCCTAAAAAACACGCAAACTCGACTCAAAAAAACACGTCGATGTGTTCATCCCCCTTGCTTCATAAAAAAAAAAAAAATGACGCAAAAAACAAACCGCGAAACAAACGGCTGGGAGGCTCCAACTTGCTTCGTTTTGGACCCCCCGACTTCCCGGCGGCGAAATGCCTTGGTGGCCAGCGCCACCGCCGACTGCACCTGCGCCTCGGGTGAGCACGAAAGTTCGCGCGGTGTCCCCCCGTTTTTTTTTTTTTTCTCCGGGAGAAGAGAGAAGATGGGAACAATCTGCCTGGACAAAATCAGTGCCCCAGCCCTCAAGTAACACCAAAGCCTCTGGGAGAATGTGAAGTGAACTTCCCAAGATACATGTGGAATACCCGGGAGAAAATCCGGAAAATCCCGGGGGAACAATATGTGGGAATACCCTGGACAAAGTCTGGAAAATCCTGGACAACATCTGGAATACCCGAAACTCCTGGGGAACATCTGGCAAACCCTGGACAACATCTTGGAATACTCTGTGAACAATACCCTGGTGCTTGCGCTTGTTTTCCATCTTCTCACTTCTCGAGTCGCCAAAAAAGGTCACTGAACTTATGAACTTTACCACTCATACGCTTCCGTTTGCTTAAGCCCCCTGGGAAAAACAAAAAATCCAGTAGTGAATCGATTCCCTGTCAAACCAAGAGAAGACAATAATCAACAAACTACAACCACGTCCTCCGGTGGAGAGGTTAGAATTAAGGTACCCCTTTTTTTTCTGTAGTCTATTTTCGTAGGGGAACCATCCCAACCAAAAAAGGGGTGAGAAAGGGCACCACTGGGGGACCTAGATACTGGTCGTTTCGGAGAGCGAGTCAAGTCCAGGAACTCCGGAAGGGAGCTTTTGGCCGGTCACCAACAGGAGAAGGGATCCAGGTTCAAAGTCGGAGTCTGCTGTTTTGATTCCACAAAGCCATCCAACAAACAAAACGCAAAGCGCGGAAACTGGGGGAGTGAGTTAAACAAGTTCAGTGTCTAAATGGTGCTTTGAAGGATTCCACACCTTATTCAAGAATAATCTTGAGAACCAATGCTGCATGCCCAATAGGAGCCCCATGCCAGTGCTGCCAGGGGAGAAACGGGCAATCCACCCTGTTGTTGGGTGGCTGCCTCAATATAAATATTATATATAATATGTAGATATATATATATATATATATGCTCACCTACTCTTGAAATTATCAGTTTTTCTAGACTGTACAAATAAAAAAAAAAAAACTAGGCCCTGGCAAGGGAGTGAATATATATATATATATATATGCTCACCTACTCTTGAAATTATCAGTTTTTCTAGACTGTACAAATAAACAACCTAGGCCCTGGCAAGGGAGTGAGCATATATATATATATACATATATGCTCAGCTACTCTTGAAATTATCAGTTTTTCTACACTGTACAAATAAAAAACCTAGGCCCTGGCAAGGGAGTGAGCATATGTATATATATATATATATGTATACACCTCACTTGCTTTCGGGACGTATGTCATTGTCCGGGGCCCACAGCCCGCCGACAACTTCGCCCGTCCTTTTGGCCTGTTGGCCGGAAAATCGGACCCATGCAAAAAATGAGATCTTTCTTGCCTGGTTGGTGGAAAACAAAGAAATGGGACCCCAAAAAAGCAAAAAAGGAAAAAGGGGAGCTAATTCTGGGGATGTACAAAGGACCAAGGGATCTTGCGGATTGCCTTTGAACAACTCCCCCTTCAAACCAGTGAAACAGGGCAAATCCAGTGGCCTCCCGTTTGCGTCGGCCTGTCATTAAAAACCCGGCAGTGAATGCGCCTTCCATCCAGTCTAAAATCTCAAAAGTCCCTTCCAAATGCAGGACTTGTGGAGAGAAAACCCTGGGCCTCAGAAACAAACACACGAAAAAACACGGAAACCAACGACCCAACACACAAAAACACTCACACACACACACACTCACAAACACTCACAAGCCCGGCAGCAAGTGAGCAAAAGCGAGGCCCCCATGGATCGATCCGAGGTGCGTCAGAAAGCATCTTGGGCACGCCGGTCTCCCGGCGGCACTGCAGCCACGAGGCCATGTCCTTGTAGGGATGGAACCTGAGCTGTGAATCGTTTGAACCACGTGGAGGTCCACAGGAGAAAAAAACACGCTCTGATTTTGATTGATTGATTCTAAGCAAAAGCCTTCCCCTTAGAAAAGAGAAAAAATAAAGAATAGAATTAGAATCCACTGCGCAATCTGGGCAGAAGGTCTCTTGCTGCATTTGAGGGTAGCCCTCTCATTTTGGTCGTAGTTTCGGAGTTTTGGGGCCGTTTTGGACTTTTTCAGCCGGCCCTCGCTCATTTTGGTCGTAGTTGCTCAATCATTTTGGTTGTAGTTACTTCTTGTTGTGGTCGTAGTTGTTTTCCTCACGTTGTGGTCGTAGTCTCAACTCAGCTCAATTTCACTCAACTCGACTCAACTCAGCTCAAATCAACTCAATTCACTCAACTCTACTCAACTCGGCTCAACTCAGCTTAACTCGATTCAACTCGACTCAACTCAAACTAAACCAACTGAACCAACTCAACTCAACTCAACTCAGCTCAAATCAACTCAATTCACTCAACTCTACTCAACTCGGCTCAACTCAGCTTAACTCGATTCAACTCGACTCAACTCAAACTAAACCAACTGAACCAACTCAGCTCAACTCAACTCAATCAAATCAACGGACCAGGGTTTGGGGTGAGGGTGGTTTAGCGTTGAGGTTTGGGGTGGTTAGGCTTTAGGTTTCGGTTATTCGCTTTAGGTCCAGCGTTGCTAGTGTTTAAATTGGGTGCAAGGGGTTTAGAGCTTCGGCTTGAGGTTTTTAGTTCAAGGGCTTCAGGGTTTCAGGGCTTAGGGTTTCTAGGGTTGTTCAGGCTCAAGGTTTTGAGGGTTTAGGTTCATTGGGTCTTTTGAGGTCTTAAGCTCAGGCATCTTTGGGGTTTTGGTTTCGGATTGCCTTGTCTGGTGCTTTTGCGACTGCCGGCTTTTTCTGGGGCTGGGCCGACTTCGCAGCCGGTTCCTGCGAGGCCCGAAATGACTCCAAAGACAAATGCGATACCACAGGACCAAAACGACTCCGGAATTGGGACCGAAATGACTCTGCAACTTGGACTAAAACGATACCGCACCCCATTTGAGGGCCTTCAATTCAATGGATCAAGTGGCCCTTAGATATCTTAGAAGGTAGTCCACTGACCCTTAGGTAAAAGGGCACGAAACCTTTTTGGTTTGAGACCCACTTGAACTGGATGCTCCGAACCCATCGACCCCCCACTAGTCAACAGCACAAGCACGGGTTTGTCTCAAAATAGGGGACACCCAAAAGGGTGCCTTCCTTTTAGTGGTTCCTATTAAAACAAACCAACCATAAATGACACATGTCTTAAAATGTAGGGCGTCGCCTGGCTGCACAGAACCGCGAGTAGAACCCCATGTGGGTCTCAGTTCCCTTTGGCGTGCCTATCCCACAAATCGTTGGTACACTCAAAACACCCGTCTGCATAAACAAAAACAAAAAACGACAAACAACTGCCACTATGCCAACTGCAAAATATGACCCGAACAAATGTTATCGCCAAGGAGGCTCGGGATCTTGGGCCGCCAACAAATCAATATCACTGCAATGGCTATAAGAAACACACAAGGATGCCAAACACATGCCCCCCCCCTACTCCGCAGTGGAAATCCCCAGTTTTCATTTCCTTTCCACTAGCGAATCTGCTGACGTGCATGCTTGTGGAGAAGGGGAGCTCTTGGGGGGGAACTCAGCCACGGTTCCTTTTTTTGATTTCCCCAAGATGGACTGAACCCCAGCACTTCTGGAGAAGTCTACCTTGAACCAAACATGGACCCCGGCTCTCGAAACAAAAACACACACACACACACACACCTCACACCCATTCGGATCCCCCTTCTTTAGATCGAGGTGCACGGCGTAGTACTGGGGCTCATGAAACACCGCGGGGTCCGGGACCAACGCGTCACAGCGATTCTGCGAGGCCGTGCCCCACTCCTCGAGGAGCGCTCGGCGCCGAGCTTGGTCCAGTCAAAAGCTGTGTAGAATCTGCCCTTTCTGCGATACCAAAGTGTTTGATTGCGTCCCTATGACGGCGTTGTCGCTTCAAGGGCTATCTTGTAGCGAGGGGAAAACCGCGGCTCCAAGACCAAAAGCATGAGGTTTTCACTTTCCCACCTGAGTTGAAGGGCTGGGGCTGTTTCCAGAGTCTTTTTTGGTTCAACCTGCTTGTGATCAGCGAGCTGTACTTTGGATTCGTCCCAGGTACTCAGCTGGCTCCCAAAAAAACTGTGGCGCAACTCCCAAAAACAAGGATCTCGGACAAAGCCGTCTCATGGAGAAGTGCTGCAGACGTGAGGTAATTAATGCAGAACATGTCGGGGATGCGGACTCTGCATCACCAGCATCATCTGTATTGAAACTCAAATTATGCCGCCACATTGCTTAAGGGGATGGCTGGGAACCACCAAAACTCCACATCTTTCCGCCACAGTTTTTTGGGTGACTAAAATTACCTCTTCAACCCGCCTAAAAGCCCATCCTCAAAGCGTACCACGGGACCAGCGATGGTTCCTCATGCGCCACCAAGGTTGCTTGACCAATTGGTTTTCGTGTTGCCCGGTTTGCCCTGTCAACAAGGATCCTCAAATGATTCCAAAAACCATCTGCTTCAGGGGATCCGTTCCTAAATCGGCTGGAATTTGGGTGAAATACTATTTGTTTGTCTGCCAAAACCAATTGATCATTGACTTTCCAAACCCAATCAGCTATTTAGGTGATTTTTCCTTGCCCAACTGTACCCTGCAAGGGACGCCAGGTCAATTCAAGGCGAACGCACATGGCCAAGGGGCGTATTTGTCATAGAGCAGGCGGATGTCCTCGGCCCCACTTTTTTTCCAACCCCGACCCACGGCTCCAGTGGATTCCCATAACGAAGGCGGGCGCGCGGCCGTCTTCTGGTGGCTCACTTGAAAAACAATTGGGTCCTGGAAGCTTGTCACAAGTTGTGCAACGAAAAAGATTAAATCACACCTTGAAAAAGGGACCCTTGGCTGGGGGTCGTCGGGGAATTTCCGAGCTCAAAAGCAAAAAACCAATTGCTGGCGGTTTCCACGTTCGATGTCCACTGTTGGAAAACAACCCAAGAAGGGAAATGGATGTCTTGCGCGACTCGATTCTGTTTTCAGGCCCTGAGCCTTTGCAAGTTGCCAAAAGTAGCATCCTTTAGAACCATGGTGGTTGCCGAAAAAAGGTCGCAAGTGATTTTATTGTTGCCAGCCTGACATGGGGGATCCTAAGCATTTGCAAACAAAACTAGATCACTCTGAGCTCGTTTGAACCCCCGCCCCCCCGCCCACATCAGTGCAGCACGCCTTTATTTAGACAGCTGAAATGCCTATGGCTTCACGGACTAGCTTTATGCCTGGCCGCTCAGAAACCAACAGGAAGGGCCTCTTCGTTTTTTTGGGGTCCCAAGACCAAGGTCTTCATGTTAACCCAAAAAGCAAACCCCAGTCTATCAACAGGGGGGTGCTTCTCCCGATCCGGTTTAGTGGGGAATCAGACCACTTTTGAAGGGGAACCCCCCTATTAATAAGCTGAAGTTGATTGGGTCAACATTAAACCAAAGGCAAGCTGTCAAATCCGCCGACCCCTTTGCAAAAGCAAAGTTAGTCTCTGCAAAGGGGCGAGGCGTGTTCTAAGTGGTGGTTAGGGGGAGTCTGAGGGGAGGAGGGGGGGTCCCGCAGCGGATTTTTGACACGCCTAACCTCTAACCCTAACCTCTAACCCTAACCTCTAACCCTAACCTCTAACCCTGATCTCTAACCTTAACCTCTAACCCTAACCTCTAACCCTAACCTCTAACCCTAACCTCTAACTCTAACCTCTAACCCTAACCTCTAACCCTAACCTCTAACCCTAACCTCTAACCTCTAACCCCAACCTCTAACCCTAACCTCTAACCCTAACCTCTAACCCTAACCTTTAACCCTAACCTCTAACCCTAACCTCTAACCCTAACCTCTAACCCTAACCTCTAACCCTAACCTCTAACTTTAACCTTTAACCGTGAGGATGGATGATGATGATGAAAGACTAGGAAGATGACGGAAGACTACGGGAAGATGACGGGAAGCTGACAGAAGACTACGGGAAGATGACGGAAGACTGCGGGAGACGACGGAAGACAAGGAGAAGATAACGGAAGACTAGAAGAGTGCGGGACTGCACGAAGATGACGGAAGACTACGGGAAGACGACGGAAGCTGACGGAAGACTACGGGAAGATGACGGAAGACTACGGGAAGATGACGGAAGACTACGGGAAGATGACGGGAAGATGACGGAAGACTACCGGAAGATGACTCTAACCTCTAACCCTAACCTCTAACCCTGGCCTCTAACCCTAACCTCTAACCCTAACCTCTAACCCTAACCTTTAACCCTAACCTCTAACCTTAACCTCTAACCCTAACCTCTGACCTTAACCTCTAACCCTAACCTCTAACCCTAACCTCTAACCCTAACCTCTAACTTTCACCTCTAAGCGTGAGGATGGATGATGATGATGAAAAGACTAGGAAGATGACGGAAGAGTACAGGAAGCTGACGGGAAGATGACGGAAGACTGCGGGAAGATGCCGGAAGACTACGGGAAGATGACGGAAGAGTACGGGAAGATGACGGGAAGCTGACGGAAGACTGCGGGAAGATGACGGAGGACTACGGGAAGATGACGGAAGACTGACGGAAGACTACCGGAAGATGACGGAAGACTACGTGAAGATGACGGGAAGCTGACAGAAGACTGCGGGAAGATGACGGAAGACTACGGGACTGCGGGAAGATGACGGAAGACTGCGGGAAGATGACGGAAGACTACGGGAGATGATGGGAAGATGACGGAAGACTACGGGAAGATGACGGAAGACTGCGGGAAGACTACGGGAAGAGGACGCCGCTGATGATGATGACGATGATGATGATGATGGTGACGAGGATGATGATGATGATCAGGAGGATGATGAGGATGATGATCTGACGATGGTGCTGATGCTGGATGATGAGGCTGAGGATGATGATGCTACTGAGGCTGAGGATGATGATGGATGATGATGACGACATGGTGGATGATGACGATGATGATGATGCATCGTCCTCATTCATCAGGTTGAGCAGCATCATCGTCATCCTCCTCATCATCATTATCATCAGCGGCGCCATCATCGGCCTCGTCATCCAGCATCATCATCAGCCTCATCATCCCCGCATGAAGCCAGACGTTGGAGAAAAATCCGGCCCTTGTTATCGCTGAGAGAAAGCCCGGCTCTTCTCCGTCCCAGACCAAAAAGCAGCTTCCGCATCCCCAGCATGCCAGGCATCACCCCAGACACCTGCAGGATGATGCCGGTGAAGCGGGGGATGCAAAAGCTGCCTTTTTTCCCGACATTCGAAGACCAAAAAGGCAGTTCCTGCATCCCCAGCAAGCAAAGCATCACCCCGGGCACCTGCAGGATGATGCTGGTGAAGCGGGGGATGCAACTCCTGCATCCCCAGCATGCAAAGCATCACCGCGGGCACGTGCAGATGATGCTGGTGAAGCTGGGGATGCAAAAGCTGCCTTTTTCTCCAACGATGCAGCCCCCGCATCCCCAGCATGCGAGACCTTGGCGCAAATCCTGCTGAGAGACGGAGAAGGGCCGGAGTTTCTCCAACGTGTGTGATGCTGTTACGGGGGTCGGCGGCATCAGGCGTCAGCCTGCTAAATACGCTTTGCTACCTAGCTTCGCACGAGTGAAGGAGCATGCCAAGTGACTTAGGCAACTCCAACGCGAAACGTCGCGATGCTTCAGTACAAGCGAAGTAACGAAACATCGCGCCATAACGCAACTTTTTCAGCACAAGCAAAACACGCCCCCTGTGCGGAAATTCGCAGCTGCCCAAACTTGCGCCAAGCCATGGCCAGAAATTTGCATCTCAGAAGGATGCTCTCTGAAAGGAAAGCCACCGTGAGTAATTTCCTCACTTCCCGAGTGGACTGGCCGAAAACAAGTCCGACCTTTGTGATTGCCACTAAAATGGTCCAACCCCCAAAACTGACTAATGTCCATGAACTCAGGGAGTGGGGTCCCTGTGTCTTTCTTTTTGGGCTTCCTTTCAGTTTCCGCTTCTCAAAAACCCGCCCAACGCCGAACAAGTGGTTAAAACCACACCCATTTTTGGAGTCCTTAGCTCTGCAACGTGCGAGCGGCTTGGCGTTCTGGGCAGAAGTGCAGCACTGACAAGAACAAATTGAGTGAGAACCAGATTCTCACTTCCTGAGTAGATTGCCCAAAAAGAGTCCAAACTGTCAATTTACCACTAGAATGGTCTTCCCAAAAAGTGACCAAAGTCCAGAAACTCAGGAGCTCAGGATTGGAGCATTGCGGATGAGATCCGGTGGCTTTTCGGTGTCATTTTCGCTTTCAAACCTCCGAAAACAGGCCCGGTTGTCTCCAAATGAGGCAATCATGTCCTTCAGAGCCGCAAAAAACCCGTGTAGGATTGAAATTTGAGTTCGGGACCCAAGCCGGGAATGTCATTGGACTATGCTCTCCACAGATCCGATCAACAGGGTACATGGTTGACCCCTGAAGCCTTACAGGAAACGCCACTCCTTGGCCCCTGGTGGTTTGATCTCTTGATTCACAAGGCTCGGAGCAACCCAAGACAAAGACGGGAAAAGATTCAATCAAGCACTCATCCCAGACCTCCATTCAGGTGTGTTTTTTGCTTTGCTGTTTCTTTTCAAAAAAAAGAGAGAGAGAGAGAGAGAGTGTTTTTGCGTGGTCGATCTTCAAGGCACCCCTCCCAAGGACAAAGCAGACAGCCGGCTCTGAATCCGTGCCGGGAAGGGGGAAGGTTCAGAAGGGCACTGTCACCGGCCTAGGCGTCTTTTTAGCATAAATAGATGGATATCCCTGGTAGATGATTAAACCACCACCCCCGCAAGCCAAAAGGGCCGATGCCGATCGATCCGAGTTGCCATGGTGGGCACAGCTTTGATCTGAGCGGCAAGGTGTGCGACATGGTTCTGTCTGATTTTTTTGGAGTTGGTATCGCATGTTTGGTTGCTCAGATGCCCAGCTTACCCCGTAAAAACACTCCAAGCCCTGGGGAAGTTTTCATATTTTGCAGACATATAGCCCATGTTACCCCCAAAAAGTTGAAAACTTGTGCTGTTAAGAGGTAAGCCAGTGGCCAGGCATCTTTTTTTTGGTTGGTTGAGTTTAAAGGGAACCCTTCCCCCAACAAAAAGGAAAAAAAGGGGCACCACTGGGCAACTGGGGTTGGTTGAAGGGAAACCAACAGGAAAACCGTCGCGCCATTTTGGAAGGCTCTTCCCAAAAAAGCAAAACGAGCCACGTGGAAAACCGTCCTGACTTCCAGGACTTGCCCTGCTCTTGGTTGAAGTTTCGCGAGTCCCATGTCCTCTAACCCCTGCCTCCAGTGGAAATTGCGTAAACAAAAAGCCGGATCCTTTTTGTTGGACACAAAAAGCCGGCCAAAACCGGCCAAAACCGGCTTTACGGGACTTCCCAAGGAGCAACAACAACCAGCACCCCGCAGATCTGCGACGTGCGTTTCGAGAGTAGAGCCTTCCCAAAAGATTCGGGCGGGGAGGGTACCTTCCTGCAGGTTCGAAAGGCCAATCCAGTCTCTTTCTGCTATTTTTTTTTTCTCAGCTGCTCCACCCATCGCCGTGGTAAATTTACGCAAGAGGGCGCCATAAAATCCCCCCTATTCATATGATTCGGGTTGACTCCCCATCCAACCTTTGCTTGATTTCCATCGGCTGTGACAATTTCTTGGAGATCCATAGAATCTGTGCGCATCTGTTCTTCCTATTCCTTGCTGTCTGTGGCCCGAAAAGCTTGGTTGCTTGCCATCAAACTGGTCTTCCGGCAAAGCACCAAGACACATGTAATCTAGATCCCAGAAGACTGTTCTATTAGTTTGGGGGTGCGCCCTCCAAAGCAGTCCTCCACCCCCACCAAACGACATGGCTCAATCGGACACCCTCACAACAATCACCCAGAAGGTTTGCTTGGATTTGGCGGCCTGGAACTCAAGACGTCAGCTTTCGGCCTACGAAACAGACCATGGCTATGCCTGGAGAAAAAAAATAACATGCAAATCATAGCAATGGCGGGAGTAGTGAAATTCAGAACGCTACATAGCAATGAACATCGAGTGTGAAATCGATTCCCCCCCCCAAAAAAAAAACAACAACAAGGGGGGACAATAAACAGAAGTCTTAAACAAGTTAATTGGGGACCCGCGGTGGACGTCACATTTAGGTGCTATTTATCTCCAGCAACCGCGCTCAAACAACAATGGACCAAGATGGGCGTGGCTAAAACCCAGTTGTTTTTTGGTTCCAGCTGCCAAGGGGCCTTTGGACAAAAACTACAATTGCTTTGCCTGGTTGGTGGAAAACACGTTAAACGGGCCCCCCAAAAAAGCAAAACAACCTTCCAGGGGAGCGAATTCCGGGAAGGGAAGATGCAACTGGCTTCCTGTCGTCGCTTCAGTCGCTTCCTTCTGCCGAAAAGCGGCCCAGAGACAAAACCAGCCGAGGATGGAGACCCAACTGCTCCGGAACCCAACATGGGAAGCGGTTCCACACCCATAGCTAGCTGGCTTCCAGTTGCGGGGAAAAAAAAAACGTGGAACTCTACCTTCCATTTGCTTGTTTCGCCTCCTGAAAAGAATAACTAATATGTCCAGTCAAAGCAACAGGGGAGTTTGCTTTTTGTAGAATACTCTTAACCCAGACGCTCCAAGTCAATTGATTTTGGGCCTTACGGCCAGGATTTTGAGACCCCAAAACCCCTCTGGGGAGTCCAATGGAGGGTCTGGGTCTTCCACTGGAAGCCGAAGCCAGGAGCGTTTGGGCAACTTCATGTACCTGGACCCTCAAGACACCCTTCACAATGGGTTATTGCCCCAAAATTACGGGGTCCATTCCCATTTTTACGAACCGTCTCGTACTTTGAGGGAAGCAACGTAAAAAACAACTAAACACTATACTAAGCAACAAAAAACAAAAAACAGCAACAACTAAACACTACTCTCCTACGGGAAGCAGCAACGCAGCAAGCTGCTGCCAAAGCGCCCCGATCATGTCCCAGCACTGCTTCGCGAAGAAGTCCTCGCCATAGGCCATCTGATCGATCTTGTCGAAGCCTTCGCACGAGTCGAAGCGAATTTGCGTTTTCGATTCGCGCCCCCCGGCGCCCCCCCCCCCCCATGCCCAAAGGGACAGTAGGCGCCCAATACAGCCTAAGGTGTATTGGGGTGCATTTGGGGCCCTTGCCTCTGGCTTGTGGCTGGTATACTTGCAGCAGGAAATCCACCACATCAACCTCCATTTGCTGAAGCCTCAGTGGAAAAAAGAAAAAATATGTCCAAATAGTGATAGATACCCTTTAACACCAACAGGGCAAAACCAGTGGAAAGAATTCGGTCCTCCAGTCTAGGTTGTTTTAGTGGAGAGGTTAGAAGAAGTTGGTACCAACTTGCTTCAGTTTTGTCTATTTACGTAGGGTTCGGAACCCTGCCAACCAGAAAAGGGTGAGAAAGGCCTTCCATTTGCTTAAGCCCACTGGAAAAAAACATGTCCAATAGTGATAGATACCCTTTGAAACCAGGTAACCAACAAGGCAAAATGAAAAAAAAAACATCTTAAGGAGATGCCATTTGCATCTTCCTTTCCCGGAATTAGCTCCCCTGCCGGAGTTGTTGCTTTTTTGGGGGCGCGCTTCTTTGTTTTCCACAAACCAGGCAAAAGATGGTAGTTTTTGCAGGGGTCCTAGTTCCAGCCAAGCTTGGGGAAGGGGTTTCCCTTGATGTCGAACAACCTACGCAGTGACCCGACCGCCCAAAGGAGGCAAAGGACCAACGTTTCTGGATTGACCAACTTGGAAAACAGCCATGGATCGTCCACGGCTCTGTCCAATGGAAACCCAACCACTAAACGCTAAAAGTCTAAAAAGCTCAGGAACCGGATGGCCTTCGGGAGCGACCGAGTATCGGCATCCTTTGTTGGCTTGGTCGACTTTAATCTGAATCTCATCTCGCTCAACAGGTCCAGTCCCTAAGACTCAAATACCCAGAAAAAAAGGCATCCGACTATTTTTTGGCTGGTTGAGTTCCACGAAAAACCCTCCCAAACAAAGGCAAAAAGTGCGCTGGGCAACTGGGAACATGTTCTTCCAGCAGGCTTCGGTTGCTGTTGTTGCTTGATTCACCTTCACAAGCACTTGAAGTTTGCTTTCTTGATAGACTCACTTAGCCCAAAGGGCCTGATTTAATCATTTTCAACTGGTGCATTCACTTCTGGCAATGGGGTAATTGGTAGTTTGAGGGGGCGGGAAACTTAGTGCCAGGGCCACGTCTTTTGCCACATATCCCGCGACACTCGCCGAACTGCCCATTGGTTCAACGGCGTTTGCTTTCCATGGAAGTGGGACGTACAAAGAAGGTACTTTGACCATGACAAAAGAAAAGCCGTGACAAATCCTTAACGTGGTTGTGATCATAGGTGGCCTTTTGGAAACATAGATGGCCCTGGTAAATGGAACAACACCCATCTAAACCAGTGCCATCTATCTTTAACCAAACTAACCTAAAAAGGACGCCTATGGTTGTGATTTGTGGGGGTTCCCAGATCCATATGTCGAACATGTTCATCCGGTTGGCTGGGTTAAAGCCTGAAGCGCAATCAAGCAGTGGCAATTGAGTCGGGTTCGGCCTTCACGTTCTGCGAAATTGTGAACAGCCGATAGTATTCTCACCAGAAAATGCCAAGGGACTGACCAATTTCGGTAGCTAGAGGCTTTGTCCGTTGGCGAGATGCGTTCCATTGATTGCTGCACTTTTGGTCACCATGGACAACTGAGTGCCTTCTCATACTCCACCAACCTGAAGCGAGTCTTCATCATGGATGACAAGGATGAAACATGGAACACCTTGGTGAGGTCGCCATAGATTTTGCCCAACAAGTCCTCTGGGTAAATTGCTAACAACAACACACAACTAGGAAAATCCTTCCCCAAGCAAAGGACCTTCATCATGAGTAAGCTTGGCTTGCCCCCAAGTGAACTCATCATAGTTTGTTTAACATGACATGTATCAACTGCCATGCTTGTCATTGCCGCGCCAAACAAATCTGGGCTGCCCTCAGATCCCCTGCCAAAAGTTTAGCTTTTAGTGGGTCAAATGGAAACCCAACCACTAAACACTAAAAAGCTAAGGAACCGGATGGCTGGGAGCCAAGAAATGAATCTTGCGCGCCACCCCAAACCATAGGAGAAAAAAGAAAGACAAAAAAGACGGCGGCGAGGTCTTGCAGCTTCAGCGGCACACATGGCGCGCGTCCCGGAAGGCGAACATGCCGAGTCGACTAATGAGCTCGATGGGACCATGCAGGAAGTTGCCATACCTCACAAGTCGCTTGACCGGATTTGCCATCCGCGCCACCCGCAAAACGTGGAGACAAACATCACGAACAGAAACTCAATCCTTTCCACATGTCCTAAGTTCAATTCAATCTGTGGAGTGCCCGCATCAACCCAACAGGCTTTATGGTGATGTCCAACACTGTACCTCAAAAAGAGTTGAAGCGTCAATTTGGAGAACCCAACTCTGAGGTCGTGAAGCTTTGACGGTGGTAAGTTGCCGGCGAAACATGGCGAACACAAAACACACAGCAATCAACCGCAAGCGTGAGTTCCGAACTTCGGGGATGTGTCATTTATAGTAATTTCAAACCGCTCTCTTTCTTACTTGCAAAGTGTTTGACGTTGCAGGAAAAACCCCACCTGTGCCAACAACCTTGAGGAACAAGTAAAACCATAACGCAAGCTGTTCAACACACTCTGCGCCCCCAAAGTCCAGGCATCTGTGATTCTTTCAGGGCGAAGATCGGAAACAGTTTTTGCCGGGGGGTACACACTCAGGGACCTGTGCGCGAATTTAAAAGGCAATTGAGGTTAAAAGGTGAGGCATAGACTTAAAGTTTTTTAGCAGTCAAAATCACAATGCCTTCCTTAAACATTCCTCCCAAATTCCATGGAACTCAATTAAGATTAGCGACCAAGTGATGATTGAACTACGCCAACTAATACGCCATATTACCAAAACCGTGTTAGAAAGCTAGAATCCCGGCCCCTGGCAAAGGACGACACAAAAAGCCCAAAGTGTTGGAATGATTCGAAGAAAGGTTCGCAGCAGCTTTCCTGGGACGTGGGGTATAGCCTTTGCTTGTTCCCCTTGCCTTCCTTTAGGGCATCCGAGGCACATGTCGTGGAGGGTGTCGAAGAAGTACTCCGAGACTTTGGGGCGGTTCGTCAGCATCCCTGACAGCCGCGCCGGCACGATCACCGCCTGGAACGAATCCGAGGTGCCTTGAGCCGAGGACCTGGGTTTTTGCGCATACCATATCTCGGTTGCTTTCTGCTCCCCTGCTAAAAGTTTAACTTTTAGTGGTTTAGTGAAAAACCCATTAGTTGGCAAAAAGTTAAAGTCCTAACAGCCAAGCAAAATGCACCAAAGATATGAGGCCCGAAAGAAGATAGGAGCAAGGTGCCCGTTCGCCTTTTGAGGTACCAACTGACCCTTCTTCATCCCCCGAAGAAACAAAAGAGGCAAGAACAACATCCACAAACAACGACATGCACTGGGTTGCTATGGCAATCACGCAACCACTCAACCAAGTAGCCAGGCAACGATGCGGCGCTTCCACACAACAATCACCACCTCACCCATCAAAACGAGCTTTTGTGGGTTGCTTCCGTGCGAGTAAACATTGCACATTCCACACTCTTGTTGTTTGCCTTTTTGCCGATCTCTGGTTGTTTCTTTCTCCGTGGGCTTTCTCTTGCTGGTGCTCAGCAGGGAATGAGGGAACGAACCCAGGCTTCGCTCCCCTCAAAGGAAACCACGTGTTTTTCAGGGTTCCATTTCTCGACCCATCGCTCGCAGCGAAGGCCATCTTTTGCCTGGCTAGGTCCTCCAGTAGAAAGGTCAGGGTTTAGGGTACCCACTTGTTTCAGGACGTCTATTTCTTAGGGGGTTTCCCTCCCAACCAAAGAAAGAGGTGAGAGGTCGGGCACCGATCGCTGGGGGACCTAGTTGAAAATCAACAAAATGACCACAGGTCAAACAAGGGAAACTGAGGGACCCAAAGGGGTGTGTCATGACTTAAATAGCTCCGGCAGCAAAAAAAAACAAAACAAAAAAACAGCCAACTGGCTGTGGGTCAAAAATGGGTACTCAAAATGGCTTGCCCTGGTAAATGGAACCAAGGACTAAAACCTGAGGTCGGATTCCTGGTGGTTTAATTTTGACCCACAGCCATATGGCCAGTGTTTTTTTCGTCGGGTTCCCGGGCGTCCACGTCCAGCTTCGCCGTGAAGTCGTAGTTCTGGAAGCTGCCGAGGTTGAAGATCTTCTGCCAGGCCTGGCGAAGGGGAAACCAAATGGGTCAAACGGCTGTGGGCCCTCCCTAGACAAACGGACGATGCGTGCCCAAGAGGTGGTCTGAAAAGAACCCGTTCAAAAGATGTGGCTGTGGCTCAAAAAACCGGTACCCCTGGTAAATGGAATGGAAAAACCACCACCTGTACCTCCAAGGTAGGGCGATGTCTTCAGAAAAACCACCACCTCCGCACAAACAAATCACCGCTCGAAAGCGCGAGCGCCTCCTTAAAGACGGGGGTGTTGGCGAGATGCTTCATCGTCCTCGGAACGCAGGTTCTCGAAGAAAAAATGGGCTTGTTTATTATTAGTATTAGTATGATGATTATTATTATCACTATTGTTATTATCATTATTATTATTATTATACTATTAATATTATTACTATTATTATTATTAGTATTATTATTAATATTATTAATTATTATTTGTATTGTCATTATCACTATTAATATTATCATCATTATGTCTTGTGTTTTTCGGGCTTCGGAAGCCCTCGTTGGTTGGTTCTGAAGGGAAACCAAAAGCAGAACCGAAACCATTTTGGGGGGTCCAAGCTACAAAAAAGACACCAACCTCCTTTGGGTTGGTCCATTTGGAGAAACTCATTTCGGTCTCAACCGATTTTTTGGAAACCGGGTCGACTTGAAATGAGCTGGAATCACCCTCAGTTGTTCAGTGACCCTGGAAAAAAAGAACTGGATCCCTTTTTGGGCTTGGACCATTTTAGTGCGGCAGCCACCCAAAAAAAGTTGGAAAAAAAAAAGCGGGCCACTGAACAACTGAGTCACCAGGTTTCATGTTGAAAAGCCGTTGGCGCTTTTGTCACAAAGCCAAGTTGAAGCCGAAGCCTGGATTGTCCCTGACGTGACAGAGGTGTCGCTGGGCCGAGGTTGCGCCTCCCGAAGTTTTAGACGGAAAGTTAAAAAAAACCTAACAGCTACACCCCAGGCTGTTCATACGCGTGAAGACGAGGAAGAAACGTGCCGCGGGATGGAGAAGCCAGGACTGCTCCAAAAAAGACGAAATTCGGGCGGACGCTGGTGGAAATGTCTGGCAGGCTCTGGCAACCGTTGAAAGGACTCTGTCTACCCTCGTGGCTTGGTCATCCGGTTCTGAGAAACTCAGCATACCTCGGCGCATCAACTTAGCACACCGAGGATGCGTCAAAGAAACTTTCGAGGGACTCGCCACATTCCCAAAGTCTGGGAGTTATAGGCTCAAGGGCCAGGATCAGCCTCAAGCCCAGAAAGCCTGACCCGGATGTGCCACTAGATGTGAGACCCACACTTCCATCTTCTTAAGCCTCAAGGGAAAAAAATACCCGGTAGTCATAGATTCTCTGGAATACCAACAAAGGAGGAAAAAGCATATTATTTGCAGCAAATGGAAGCACGCAATGGTTCCTGTCGCTTTGCCTTTCCACCGCAACATGGCGAAGAAGAGCACACCCACATCTTTTGCTTGAGGAAAAAGTGATTAGACCAATATATATATATATATACGTATATCACTTGACCTAACTAAACTGATATTTGACTCCCACTTTGGAAGACTTGCCACTGATTTATCGTTGCACTTGAAAGGGGTTCCCAGTCTCCACTCACTACTTACAGAAACTGGCAACCGAAAACAACAAACAAAGAACCATGGTGACTCGCACGAATTCTTATTCTCTCATCGAAACCTCACAACAACGAAACGCCCACCCAAACCCCGGTTCCCCGGTGAACACCTAGAAAGCCTTCTAAAATAAACCGACTGTCTGGTGTGGCCCTCCCCCGCAAGGCTCCTGGGGTTTTGGCCGACCCAACCCACAGGGGCCCAAGGCGACGAAATACCAAATCTGTCTCTCGCCGAGGGGCGCGCCCTGGTACAGGGGGCTGTTGGGGTTTGTGTAGGGCGAGGAGGGGTCCGTGCCTGCCGATGCCGATCGAACCGATTTCGCTTCGGCGAAAAGCGCAGATTGGGCACCGGAAAAACACTGCCTGAAGAACTTGATATGCAAGTTGCACGTCCCGGTTGCACCCTGTGAACTTCAAACAAAAAAACACATATCGAAAGCATTTGAAATTGGCGAACAAGGCGGTGGACAGGACATGAAAGGCCAAACACGGCCTCTGAGGCCTGATTTGGCATAGGCCCCCATGCTTGCACCCACTCACCTTATTCCAGTTATTGCTCAAGGAAACCAGGTTGTCCAAGGTCAATAGCACCACTAGGTCCTCCAGAGAGGTTAGAATACGGGTATCAACTTTCTTCTGTAGTCTATTTTAGTAGGGGAATCCCAAAAAAAGTTGGTAAAAGGGCACTACTGGGGGACCTAGACCATTGTTTGCCAAGAGTTGACACGTTGTACCCTGCAAGTAGCTGGGCTACTTGGATGCGGGGGCAGTTGGGGATCCACATCCATGAAGCGACCCCCATGCCAAAATATTACACATGCGAAACCAGGGGGTCGAACCACCCACTAAATTGGTCAACCCAGAGGCTCCTGGCTTCGGCTTTCAATGGAAGACCCGGCCCCTTTATTAGACACCGGAGGTGTTGCGGGGTCGCAAAACCTGGCTGTCAAACCGGGATTTGGGGTGTGTAACATTTCGTGGTGTTTTGGAACCAAAGATCCATCTGGCTTGAAGGTGACAGATTTCGAGCCTCACTTCCGCGGATTAGCCAAGTGATGCTCAAATAAAGTCCAAGCAACTTGGGGGGCGAGGCAGCATAATATGGCCATGTGGCTGTGGCTCAAAAATCGGTACCCAAAGTGGCACCTTGGAGAAGAAAAAAAAAAAAAAAACGGACAACTTGCTCAACCCTAGGCCTTGAATTTCGAGCCACACCCATGTCCGAACATGGGTATCTTCAAGTTCGAACGGTTTCAAGTGGTGTTTTCTCGCTTGGAGCATCCAACAGCGCCCGAGAGGCGCGTTTGCAGAATTTAGATGAGAGGCTTGGCGTCACAAGGCCGAATGAGACAAGCACTTCGCCCTCGAAAAGGCTTGGATCAAATTCCAAGGGATGGGAAGAGACATTGGGTCCGGTGCTTGAGATATGGGGTGATTCTTCGATCCCAAAATGGGAATCCCTTAGGACCCTTGGGGTTCCTTCTGGTTTCTGAACCAACCAAGAAGTTGGTTGCCCCCCCCCCCAAAAGGCCAGGGACACCCAAATCAAAGGCAGGGGTTCAGGGGAAACCAGCTTTCCACCCGTGGACCGCATCGGTTGACGGAAGACGCCTTCTTGGCCCTCGCTCTTAACAGCCACCCCCGGTGCTCAAAGCTCCACTCCCCGGCCGCCCAAAACCGATCGCAACAGTGACTGAAAACAGCGATCGCAACTTGGCTATCTAGGTCCTCCAGAGAGGTTCGAATACGGGTACCATATTTTTTGCTGTAGTCTATTTTAGTAGGGGGTTTCCCTCCCAACCAAAAAAGGGCTGAAAAGACGGGCACCATTTGGCAGTGGGACCTAGAAGCAGTCCTTTTGGCCCGGACCTCAAACCACGGCCAGCGAAAAGGACGCGCGCCTACCGGACCGGAGACTTTATTCACCTCAAAATAATCGGCCGGCCGGTTCGCCGGCCGGCTGGACGCGTCGCGTCCGGAAAGCTATCGTGCTTGTTGGGTAGAACTCGGGCTTCTATTTGCTTGTTTTGCCCCCTGAAAAGAAGAACAAATTTGTCCAGTCAAACCGACAGGGGATGTTGCTTTTCATAGAATACTCTTAACCCAGACGCTCCCGATTGCCGATTGGTTTTGGGCCTTACTTCAGGGTTTTTGTCTCCCCAAGACTTTTCTGAAATGTCCAATGGAGGTCTGGGTCTTCCAGTGGAAACCCCAGGAGCGTCTGGGTATAAAAAGTAGTTGAGTTGTGGAATTAGATAATTACTCGATAATGTCTAAGTCTTCTTGGGATGATTCTTATGAGCAATCCCCTTTTTGTTGGCCCGAGCCTTTTGGTTGGCCACAAGTCGCAAGTGGATGTGTTTTGGGCCGAGGGGAAAACGAGACCAAGGGACTTTTTCTATGAGCACCTAGGTCGATCCATAGCAGCCACCTGCTTGTTCCAATTGGGTGGCAGGCTGGCATGATTGAGCCGAAAACGGACCGATTTCTTTGAGGTGTTGAGCTTCTGGGAGGGGGGAGAGTTTCTTCGGCTCGGAGCAACTCCCAGGACTGTGAAGAAAGAATCAGGGTCCAAGGAAGGGCCTCGTGTGCCCTGGCAAGGACAAAGGCGTGTGTCAACCGATCGGTGAGATATGAGTAGTCAATCTAAAAATACGGAAGCGGTAGAAAAGCAAAGTTCATGGAAAAGGTTGTAAATCAAAGTCTTCCGAGAAGTTGCTGCAAATTGTGGTTTTCAAGCCCCATTTGGGGACCTCTCATCTGAGAGGCTCAAGCCGCGCCTGCATCAGGCCAACTAAACAGGCCACACAAATCCACCATGCGACGCTCTGTGCAGGCCTATCATGTCTTACAGTACTCCGATCAATAGCTCCGAAAGGCTCCCTCCTATGTCCTCCAGAGAGGTTAGAAAAAGGATACCAACTTTCTTCTGTAGTCTAATTTAGTAGGAGAACCCTCCCCCCAAAAAGGGTAAAAGGGCACTACTGGGGGACCTAGTCTGTAAAAGCAACAATTTGGAGACCCCCAGCTCTTCCCATCAGGCACGATTGCCAGTTGTCCACGTGCATTCAGGCATCACATGCGGGTCAACCCTTATGGATGAGGCCAACTCAGTTGCCCAAAGGACCGCGAAATACAAGGTTTACCTTCTTGCGCCTTTACTCAAAAAAACAAATGACCCAAATTTCCGCAAACCAAGAGGTCGTAATTGGTCGATGCGCTTTGGGCAAGTGAGCAATACAAAGAAAACCACTCTGAGTCCGGCTCCGAGCCCACCAGCTCCCTTCCTTTCAAAAACTCCCGGTCCCGGTAGCCCGAAGTGAAAACCCTTAGCTGGAATGCCCGCGGCAAAGGCCCAGCGGTTAAAAAAATGGGTGGTTCCTCAAGAGAAAAAAAGGAAAAAGAGAGAGGATCCTTGAAAGGTTGGCTTCTTGTTGCGTTCCTTTTACCAACCAGAAAACAACCCATCATCTTTGAGAAACCTCCCATGTGGATCCCACAAGCGTTTCAAGAAGAAGAAACAAAAACAAAACGAGTCATCTTTGGTTTATCTCCCATGTCAAACATCGAAAACTTGCCATCTGGGCGGCGAAGAGATCCATGTCGATGGTGTGCACATGGTCCTGGCCCGCGCCAGGCTGCAACTTTTCGGGGCTGTTCGAGGCGAAGCTGAATGGCCGTGGGGCATGGGAAAAACGGAAAAATAATCGTTGGTAAAAACAACCACCAAATCAACGAAACAAAACAATCAAACAAAAACACTGGGAAACACGGCAACTGATACTCACTGGTAGGCAACTCTGGCTGCCCTTGCTATTGCTCTGAATCAGCAGTCATAAAAGTCCATCTAAGTAGTTATACGGCATTTTTTGTTGTTGAGTTGGTCGACTTTAATCTGATTTCCATAACAAAAAGAATCGGCATCTTTTTGTTGTTGAGTTGGTCGACTTTCAGATACCCAGCGAGTGGATCAGTTCGCAGACTGCTGCATGAATTCACCAAAGAGAATCGTTGTTTTTTTTATTATGGAATTATGAAGAGCGGGCCAGGGTGGACTCGAACCACCAATGACATGTGTTTGAGCCGTCGGCCGAAACAATGACGCCTTACCCATTAGGCGACTGGCCCTGCTACTGTTAGCAAGGTAGTTTGAATTGTGCAATACAAAACACATGCAACTCAATCCTTGTTTTTAATAGTTGACGCAAACAAAACACACAACCGGGAATGCAAGAATTGCTCTGCGGTTTTCCGTGGACCCCCCCCCCTCCAACAAACACAAACAGTTCACGGGGCAACCAAAATGTTCAGGACATGGAAGGCGTTGGGCCATTTTTAGTGGTAGCTCGACTTTCCTGAGGGTATCCTTGGCTTGGTTAGGGAGTTGTGCATGCACGTGGCTCAAAGAACAAAATGCATCAAAATGGCAGGCGCTTCGGCGAACTTCTTGCATTTCCTGGAGCTACACGAATTCAAATATCGAGTCAATCCAGAGTGTTGCAGTTGCAGGGTATATGGGTTTGTCTCAAACCCCAAAATGGGTGGTTTCAAAAAAAACAAAAGACACACCCAGATAAAGCTTGTGAACGGCACATTGGGGGCGAGCCAAAACAAAGTCTGCAAACTCCACAATGATTTCAGGACCTGAAATAAGAGAACCACAAGTACAGGGCCTACATTGTGGTGAGCTCGTTTTGGCCCTGGGTGAGCTCGCCAGCCAATAACTCAAATTCCACAAATCACACAATCCCCAAGGCTCCCGATGAATTTTGGGCCCTGAAGATGGGTTTTGAGGGGTCTGGGTTTTTCGTTGGAGGGCCCAGGGGGGCCTGCATTGCAGGGGGCATGAGCCTTAGGGATAATGGATTCAATGGATGCCAACCCACTGACTTGCTGCAAGGATGTGAGAAAAGCCGTCTGACCTGCAAGCAGCAACAACTCCTCCCCAATCCAAGGATCCGCAAAGGTTCACCCAATCGAAAAGTTGCCACCCGAATCTCTTTTTGCACTTGAACCAAGGCCCAGTTGTCCAGCTAGTAATTCGAACACAGGGAACCCTTGGCAGGGTACACCACTTTATGGGGGCCCTTGAGGGAAAAAAAAGAAAGACCGAAAACAGAGACGGGAACGCTCCCAAGCTCACTTCCGCTCGAGATGGGTCAGAAGTCACGGTTCGGGAGTGCAGCGCTTTGGGATTCAGACTCTCGTTCTGACCCGATAAAAACATGGGTCCATGACGCCATGAGTTTGGGTAATGACCAAACATTTTTCAAGGGAAAAAGAAGGAGATTCCAGGAACATGGTCCAAACCCAAGCCAGTTGAAGGCTTTGCGGGCCAGCAACTCAGGGAGAGAGCTACATTTCTCTTTTCAAGATCACCCCAAGCGGAACCTCACTTATCCTCCCACCAGCTAACATGGAAGTGCACAGACCCCTGTAGAAAGACTACTGTCCTCTTGGAAAGGGCTTTTTGCACTTCCATGTTAGTTGGTGGGAGGGTTTAACCACGTTCCCTCTGGAACACCGGCGGCTGGAGCCTTTCCGATTTTTTTGGGCAGCCCAGCGCATCAAAGCGCACCAGCACCCCTTTTCAGGCTAACAAGTCCACGTCCACTGGCAGGCCGATGGGGCCAAAACCAAACGAGATCCGGATTCTCTCTAAGATTGGCCCCCCCCTTTTCTGACCTCCCCAAAAGATCGGGAAATCAGCGGTTTGACGGCTCCAGGCTCAAGGCTCATGTGGATAATCACCCTTCCGTGATACCAACATGGGCTATATCCATCACTTGATCAGTTTCAAGGAATGGATTTCTTGGTATCACAGAAAGGTGGCGCTCCCCAAATTGTCCACAACCAGGGGGGTCGATCAATACTCCATTCAGTGCCGCCAGGGTATATAACTTTCCCTTGTTTAGTGGGGAAAGTCATCTGTTTGGGCGGTTTCCCTGGTCATTCCATGCACAGGACCTTTTGATCAAGCCCCACATGCTGCCCGAGCTTTCCTTGAGCTGATTCGCAATGTCCGGGAAATCTTTGAACAGGACGTCAGCTGTGACGTTGCCTCGGTGCCATCCTACCCAGCAGCCGAGGAAAGGCGGATCCCAGGACTGGAAGCGGTTTGAATCACGGAACATGTTGCCCAAGAGAAAATCCGGGCAACCAAAACACTTGCCACGCCAAAGTCTTAGTCTTTTACTTTTAAAGGGGTCGTTGTCTAAGCCCGTCCCAGCTCAAAGGCAAAAGGCCTTCGTTCAACTTTGCAATTGGTCGCAACTGTTCCCCAAATCATCAACTCTAAGATATGTTTACATATATATATATACATTAAGCCCAAAGAGTCACACACAGGGGGCGTGCCTACAGCAGCTTCCGAAATAATTTTATTGGGGGGCTTCCTAGTGTCTATCGCTTTTTGCGGTGGGGAAACCTTGCAATACTAAATTTAAAATTGGCAATGCTGAACTAGGTGCTGGGAATCTGAGAGAAAGTCTTCGCAATACCAACTTTGGACTCGAACATGCCGAATCAAGTATTGGCGAGCTCGAGTCTAACCCAAACCCCCACCTCTCCTCGTTCCAGTAGACTTCCAGTTGTTTTGTCAGTTGCTCTTACAGCGTGTTCGAGAACATACTGGGAAATAGGCTAGGTCCTGACTCCAGTAGAGAGGTTACAATAAGGGTACCCTTGTTTCTGTAGTCTATTTTAGTAGGGGAACCCTCCCCCAAAAAAGGGTAAATGGGCACTACTGGGGGACCTAGTAGGGCAGC